AGGTTGCGATGAAAGTGAGTGTTTGTGAAATTCGTGTGCAGGGAATTCAGCTCACAAGTTGGATTTTGACCATACGTGAATACAGAAGAAAAATTACCTCAAAATATAATTTTTCGCAGAAACTCGGTGAAACGGATGCATTTTGAATTAACTAATTGCAGTTGCGAATTGTTCTCTTCGATGCAGCACTCGGCACGTACAAAAAGTTGCAGCAGCTATTCGAGAAGTCGCTTTGGTTGTACCGTGACGAACGTACGCGGAAGGGGGTAAATAGGCTGAGGAAGCAGCTCGCTGCTGCTGACGTCAAATTTACTTCCTCATTCCACGTCTTTTTTGTCGTACGTTCATTTCATAGCTTCTAAATTTTCATTTTTTTTCTTCTGTTTTCAATTGCAAAATACTTTTACGGAATTTTGGACGAAGCTCCCAGCCACACTTCATATGATAAGGCTTCTGCAATTTGGCACTATTTGTAAATAATTTCAAGAATCTCTTCCGATTCAAGGTCAATTTTCCGGTGTCAGCGCAACTGGATTGTGAAAACCCCAGATTTTCGCTATCATAATCCTAAATTTTGCAAAATCAGAGATGATGGCGCAGTTTTTTTGCTGTGAAATTATGCAGGATCCAAATCTCTGCAACCAAATTTTCAAACCCGCTCCCTGAAGTAGTTAAATCTTTCTAGCATATCTCTGTTCTGCCTTTAAGTAGCAGTTTGAGATAAACGGAATCATGAATTCAACTTTTCAACTGCAGGCGCTTGAGGTGCTGGAGCTGTGCGAGGCATATTTGACGCTCTGCAGTGGCCGTTCCCGAACTCGCCAATACATCTGTTCGAAGATCAGTACGACACGCTTCAAGGAAATAAGGCGTCATTACAGAGATCTGTTGTTCACCGTTCGGCATTTTCGATGTGTTGTCGAGCTCCGCGACAAAACCCGAATCAACAAGTGGCTAACTAAGATCGAACAGTGCGTTCGAAAAGTGGTATGTGTCGGTCGTAGCTAATCTCTCCAGTGCTCGTAACTATGCTTCAAGCTGTGCTTCTTACTTGAATTACGGGTCAGGTGGCGTACTGGTAAATGAAATTGCAATGCGAGACGTTCATACAGAAGCATCAGCAATTCCACCCCAATGTACATCATATGCTAACTACCCAAGAGTCTGTGGTGTATCATGAATTCAGAAGAAGGAGGAAGTACCATCAAAACTGAAGCCTACCCTCATTCAGCCTTCACAGTAAATTAAGCTACTCTGACATACACTCTTTTT